CCACAGGTTCCACTTTCCTTGTTCCTTCTGCTCACAAAAAACAAGACAATGCCTTCAATTGAGGAACATTGGGTCTGGATGCCAAATGTTGAGAATCCCGAATGTTCCGTAGTCAGTGCTTCATATCCTGACCTGATCATGGACTCGCAAGCTTTTAGGAACTGAACCAAGTGGTGTAGTGGACTCGTAAATGCACACAGCTTCATTTGGGGACTTGGGATCTAGAACAAGCCGACACAATGATCAATTTACTACCATAGACCAGTTGATGGAATATTCCCCACTTTTGAAATTTTTGAATACATCCATTGCATCCATTCATCTTTTCTTCCAGTTGTCACTCCAGTGCCAGGATCACTGAGCAAACAGAGATCCGTGGCCAGCTGGACTTTCGTGAGGAAGAGTGCGTTCCCGTGCCGCTCAATGAGGCCTGATATGGCCTGATACATCCTGATACTGCACCAATTTGTACCAAACCTGTCCCTGCCGTTTTGGGTCACCAATGCGTAACCTTTTGGACCACTTGGCTCACTTGGAGCACTTGGGCTTAGTCCTGTTGAAGTGTTGGAAGTGTTGGAAGTGGGGACGCCCAGAACTTCAAGGCTGGACGGCTGGATGATTTTCTCCAAGGATTCTCTGGTTTGTTTGCAGGTGGAGCCGGCTGTTGAGATCGTGAAGCGGTTCTGCACCGGTGCCGCATCCTTTGGATCTATCAGTGATGAGGCACTGTGACTTGGTAAGGGTAAGATCCGCTTGAACCCAGCGCACATGGAAATTAGCTCAAGTTCAAGACAATTCGATTTACAAATATTTACATATATTTACCATATTTTGCAATAGTGCGACGTTTATATATATATATAATATATATATATATAATGGTTTGAAAGACGTTTGACCAGCGTTTGTGCATCCTTTACCACATATTTTCCTGAATGTGAGTCCAGGCACATCGAGCCATGGCCATCGCCATGAATCGAATTGGCGGAAAGAGCAACACGGGCGAAGGTGGTGAGGTGCAATGAAAAACTGAGCTGTCGCAATGCGAAACGGAGGTATAGACGGTATAGAGCCAACATGAGCCAACCTGCTAATCAAACTTGGGCTTCATGTAGCGCAGATGTTCATGAAGCGCATGAGTTCTGAGAAAGTTTACAATTCGAACATGTGCCAGGACCCGATGCGTTTCACTCAACTGGAGCCTGGAGAGTTTGAAGCCGGTGCCGTGAAATGGGACATTGTCGGAGGGGATACCTTCCGCTCCAAGATCAAGCAGGTGCAGAGTTCTCAGGGTGGGTTGGATTTCAACTTGAAGTATAGGAATGTATAGGAATGTTATAGGAATGTTATAGGACTCTCAAAATGCGAGTGACTGCATTCTCAATTGAAGATTCACGACAGGTGTCTGGCAGACACTCAGCCGGCAGTTCGGGTGTGAGCCATGTTTGAACCCTATCCGACAGGTGGCGTCTGGACGCTTTGGTGTGACCGCCGAGTATCTGGCGAACGCAGACGAGCTCCAGATCAAGTCCTTTAGTGGAAACAAGACATTCTGTTGGAGAAGACAAGCAGATCATGAGAGATACATTTGCCAAGATGGAATCAGCTAGAGTCACTTCGAGTTGTTCATGCCGAGCGTAGATGCGTTGACTTGAAGAGTTTTGGGCAAGCTGAGATGTAGAACGGTTGGGTTTGTCGTTGTTTTGCCAGGTTCAAATAGCCATAAATTGGGGCCATTCTCCATTGCTGGACAAATCCATATTCATATCTCATATGTCATATATCATGTATATTCACATACCATATGAGACATATGTATCATATGAATCATATATTAGGTTAGATGTTTTTCCCATGTTTTTCCCCACATGGTGTTGTTTTACACCTGGCCGTCAAGGTTGGCCCAGGGCGCCAAGCCTGGTGAGGGTGGCGAGCTGCCAGGCCACAAGGCGCGATAATACATAATAGACAATACATGATTTACTATATAATATGCAATATGTATAATTAAAGTATAAACTATATTTATATATGTTATATTCTATTATATGTAATATATAAGTACAATATAACTTTCAATCAGTTCCAGACTTTGAAGTATTGCCCATCTTTATGCCAAGAGGAGAGTCCTGTGAAGGGCCCCAGGGCCCCAGGCATGCTGCACTGTCAGGTCATTGGCAAGATTGCCGAAACCCGCAAGGCTACGCCTGGGGTGGGGCTGATCTCCCCTCCGCCGCACCACGATATGTACTCCATTGAGGCAGGGTGGGCTAAGTGTGTGGAGTTGCGGACTGTTGGTCCGCATGGTGTAGTCTGCTCTAGTTCATATGTATATGTAATATATATATATATGTATACAATATGTATATGTAGCCGTACTACACATTTATGATTTGTATATACATTTACATAGATTTATGATTATTGTGTGTGTACACATACGCGTATCATCACACAGATTTAAGGGCTGACGCCCCTCGTCGGCTCCGCCGGATTTCTCGACCCTCCATTTCATCGCAGTGTGGGCTTGAAAGCTTTTGGATGGGGACCTGCTTCAGAAATATATTCCTTATGTTTTTTTGAAAAAAGGTCATGGCATAGGAACTTTGTTGGAAATAGACGGCTTTTTTGGGGAGCAAGTGAGTTCCCGAAAGCTCCTGCCAAGGGTTTTTCCCGAAGAACTGCTGCCAATTTCAACTTGTTACTTCGTGTAAAGGCGCCTCTGTGCAAAGACTTCTCTGTGTAAAAGCTTTTGTGTGTAAAACTTTCTGTGTGTAAAAACCACTTTGTGTAAAGACTTCTTTGTGTAAAAGCTTCTGTGTGTGAAAGCTTCTCTGTGTGAAACATCTGTGTAAAGATTTCACTGTGTGTAAAAGCTTCCGTGTGTAAAAACTCTCTGTGTAAAGTGTAAAGGCTTCTCTGTGTAAAAGCTTCTGTGTGTAAACGCGTCTGTGTGTGAAAGCTATATATCTGTGTAAAGACTTCTTTGTGTAACAGCTTCTGTGTGTAAAGGCTCCTAGACGTTTGTGTGCAAAAGCTCCTTAGAGTAAAGACTTCTCTGTGTAAGACCTTCTGTGTGTAAAAAGCTCCTGTGTGTAAAGACTTCTCTGTGTAAAAGCTTGCTGTGTGTAAATGCTTTTGTGTGTAAAAGCTCCTCTGTGTAAAGGCTTCTCTGTGTAAAAGCTTCTGTGTGCAAACGCGTCTGTGTGTAAAAACTCTCTCTGTCAGTCAGGCCTTCTTCGTGTAAAAAGTTCTGTGTGAAAAAGCTCCTAGACGTTTGTGTGCAAAAGCTCCTTGGAGTAAAGACTTCGCCGTGTAAAACCTTCTGTGTGTAAAAAGCTCCTTTGTGTAAGGACTTCTCTGTGTAAAAGCTTGCTGTGTGTAAATGATTTTGTGTGTAAAAGCTCCTCTGTGTGAAGGCTTCTCTGTGTAAAAGCTTCTGTGTGCAAACGCGTCTGTGTGTAAAAAGCCCTCTGTGTAAAGACTTCGTTGTGTAACAGCTTCTGTGTGTAAAGGCTCCTAGACGTTTGTGTGCAAAAGCTCCTTAGAGTAAAGGCTTCTCTGTGTAAAACCTTCTGTGTGTAAAAAGCTCCTTTGTGCAAAGGCTTCTCTGTGTAAAAGCTTCTATGTGCAAACGCGTCTGTGTGTACAAACTCTCTCTGTCAGGCCTTCTTCGTGTAAAAAGTTCTGTGTGAAAAAGCTCCTAAGAACGTTTGTGTGCAAAAGCTCCTTAGAGTAAAGACTTCTCTGTGTAAAACCTTCTGTGTGTAAAAAGCTCCTTTGTGTAAAGACTTCTCTGTGTAAAAGCCCCTGTATGTGCAAAAGCTTCTGTGCGACTCCTCCATCCAGCTTTCTTTCGGGTCACGCTGTCGTCCAGTTTCAATCTGCAACGTTGTTTCTTGTGGAAGAATGCAAAGAACAGGTGGCAGGTTCAAAAATTGAACATAAACAGCACACAAAGTGCTGTAATTTACAGCATTTTGCGCTGTCAGATGGCAAGAACCCGCGTAAATACCATAGTTTTAGTCCCCGAAAGTGGCTAAAACACTGTTATTTACAGGGTTTCGTTCACGTCACGATCTTCGATTTTTTGAAAAACGCGTAAATACCAGCGTTTTTTGCGTTCATCAACGCAACAAATCGGTTCAAAAAGGGAAGAAAATGCTGTAATTTACAGGGGTTTGGCGCCGCCACAGGCAAAAAACGGCGTAAATACCAGCGTTTCGGCGTCCAAAGCTTCTGCGTGTAAACGCGTCTGTGTGTGAAAGCTATATATCTCTGTAAAGACTTCTTTGTGTAACAGCTTCTGTGTGTAAAGGCTCCTAGACGTTTGTGTGCAAAAGCTCCTTAGAGTAAAGACTTCTCTGTGTAAAGCCTTCTGTGTGTAAAAAGCTCCTTTGTGTAAGGACTTCTCTGTGTAAAAGCCCCTGTGTGAGTAAAAGCTTGCTGTGTGCAAGTGCTTTTGTGTGTAAAAGCCCCTCTGTGTAAAGGCTTCTCTGTGTAAAAGCTTCTGTGTGCAAACGCGTCTGTGTGTAAAAACTCTCTCTGTCAGGCCTTCTTCGTGTAAAAAGTTCTGTGTGAAAAAGCTCCTAGACGTTTGTGTGCAAAAGCTCCTTGGAGTAAAGACTTCTCTGTGTAAAACCTTCTGTGTGAAAAAAGCTCCTTTGTGTAAAGACTTCTCTGTGTAAAAGCCCCTGTGTGTGTAAAAGCTTGCTGTGTGTAAATGCTTTTGTGTGTAAAAGCTCCTCTGTGTGAAGGCTTCTCTGTGTAAAAGCTTCTGTGTGCAAACGCGTCTGTGTGTAAAAAACCCTCTGTGTAAAGACTTCTTCGCCTGTGTGTGTAAATGCTTTTGTGTGTAAAAGCTCCTCTGTGTAAAGGCTTCTCTGTGTAAAAGCTTTTGTGTGCAAACGCGTCTATGTGTAAAAACTCTCTCTGTCAGGCCTTCTTCGTGTAAAAAGTTCTGTGTGAAAAAGCTCCTAGACGTTTGTGTGCAAAAGTTCCTTGGAGTAAAGACTTCTCTGTGTAAAACCTTCTGTGTGTAAAAAGCTCCTTTGTGTAAGGACTTCTCTGTGTAAAAGCCCCTGTGTGTGTAAAAGCTTGCTGTGTGCAAATGCTTTTGTGTGTAAAAGCTCCTCTGTGTAAAGGCTTCTCTGTGTAAAAGCTTCTGTGTGCAAACGCGTCTGTGTGTAAAAACTCCCTCTGTCAGGCCTTCTTCGTGTAAACAGTTCTGTGTGAAAAAGCTCCTAGACGTTTGTGTGCAAAAGCTCCTTGGAGTAAAGACTGCTCTGTGTAAAACCTTCTGTGTGTGAAAAGCTCCTTTGTGTAAGGACTTCTCTGTGTAAAAGCCCTGTGTGTGTAAAAGCTTGCTGTGTGTAAATGCTTTTGTGTGTAAAAGCTCCTCTGTGTGAAGGCTTCTCTGTGTAAAAGCTTCTGTGTGCAAACGCGTCTGTGTGTAAAAAGCCCTCTGTGTAAAGACTTCTTTGTGTAACAGCTTCTGTGTGTAAAGGCTCCTAGACGTTTGTGTGCAAAAGCTCCTTAGAGTAAAGACTTCTCTGTGTAAAACCTTCTGTATGTAAAAAGCTCCTTTGTGTAAAGACTTCTCTGTGTAAAAGCTGTAAAAGCACCTGTATGTGTAAAAGCTTCTGTGCGACTCCTCCATCCAGCTTTCTTTCGGGTCACGCTGTCGTCCAGTTTCAATCTGCAAAATTGTTTCTTGTGGAAGAATGCAAAGAACAGGTGAAAGCATCGCAGGTTAAAAAATTGAACATAAACAGGGCACAGAGTGCTGTAATTTACAACATGTTGCGCTGCCAGATGGCAAGAACCCGCGTAAATACCGCAGTTTTAGTCCCCAAAAGTGGCTAAAACACGGTTATTTACAGGGTTTCGTTCACGTCACGATCTTCGATTTTTTGAAAAACGCGTAAATACCAGCGTTTTTTGCGTTCATCAACGCAAAAAATCGGTTCAAAAAGGGAAGAAAATGCTGTAATTTACAGGGGTTTGGTGCCGTCACGGGCAAAAACATGCGTAAATACCAGCGTTTCGGCGTCCAAAAGTGGCCAAAACACCGCTATTTACAGTGTTTCGTGCCGTCCACCTTTTCTTGAAATAGCAAAAACCGTGTAAATACCAGCATTTTTTGCGATCAACTTGCCAAACATGCTGTAATTTACAGTGTTTTTTTGCTTGGCTTTCAAAAACACTGGTATTTGCAGTGTTTTGTGCATCTTGGGTCCAAAAAGTATTGGTATTTACAGCATTTTCTGCGTTTTTGCATGGCTCCCGCAAAAGACGTTAAAACGCAAAAAAATGCTGTAATTTACAGCATTTTGACAATTTCGAAAAGCTGAAAATCGTCCGAAAAATGTGTCAAAACGGCACTTTTTTCCGATTTTAGGTACCCTCAAAATCGGGGGGGCCTTTTGCTCTTGGAGACGCTTATGAGCGACCCGGATTCCGGCCAAAAAGCTCTCCCCCACCCTCCTGAAGGATTTTTGGTGGTTTTCGGGGCCCGGCGTCGGAGGGTCGGCGGCTTGGGGCGCACCTCACCATAGAGCTCTAGTCGCTCTGGGACGCTCGTAGGGCAAGCCACTCGTGGGGAGCCGGCGGAGCCGAATTTTTGGGCTGACGCCCCTCGTCGGCTCCGCCGGACCACTCGGCCCTCCATTTCATCGCAGTGTGTGCGTGAAAGTTACTGAATGAGGACCTGCTTCAGAAATATATTCCTTAGGTTTTTTGGAACATATTTGTTGGAATAGACGATTTTTTGGGGAGCAAGTGAGTTCCCGAAAGCTCCGGCGAAGGGTTTTTCCTAAAGAACTGCTGCCGATTTCAACTTGTTACTTCGTGTAAAGGCGCCTCTGTGCAAAGACTTCTCTGTGTAAAAGCTTTTGTGTGTAAAAGTTTCTGTGTGTAAAAACCACTTTGTGTAAAGACTTTTTTGTGTAAACGCTTCTCTGTGTGAAAGCACGTCTTTGTAAAGATTTCTCTCTGTGTAAAAGCTTCCGTGTATAAAAACTCTCTGTGTAAAGGCTTCTCTGTGTAAAAGTTTCTGTGTGTAAACGCGTCTGTGTGTTAAAGCTCTCTGTGTAAAGACTTCTTTGTGTAACAGCTTTTGTGTGTAAAAGCTCCAAGATGTTTGTGTGAAAAAGCTCCTCAGAGGAAAGACTTCTCTGTGTAAAACCTTCTGTGTGTAATAAGCTACTCTGTGTAAATGTGTAAAAGCCCCTGCGTATGTAAAAGCTTGCTGTGTGTAA